TATCTGAAATTATTTTAGAAAAACAAATTTTCACCAAATTCGGATATAGAAGGATTTCGAAATAATTTTATCAGACTTGTACAGTTTGTTATTGTTTATGTGGTAACACGGTTCTAAACAAACAAGCCGACCAAGTAATGTAAATTGCAATGTACATTGAAAGAAAAGTGGTACTGAATTTGTAAGCAATAATGATGAATTGGTTTGTTAAAAAAGCGCTACCTTTTCAACGACACTTTGACATTTTTTTTCACAAAATATACGAAAAATATTCGGCAATCCAGTACAAGCTAACCGACCTATCAAGAAACGGCAGAATTTGCACAACAAAGTTAAGCCACTGCTCCTGCCGAAAAGGCTGCTTCTTGAGAGCATTTAGCACGGTCAGAAGAAACATTCGCAGCTCAACCATACCAACGTGAGGCTCACGGACTGGTGCGCGGTGTAGCGGTGAATTGTAAATTTGTTGGTTAATTGATAATTTATCAGCATTAACACTACCCGTATCCTGAAATGTGTGTAAGTTCACATGCAGGCTTGACTTGTGATTACAAATCATCGAATTGAAAGAATCTGAAAAATCACATAGTTCATTAAATCTGGCTTTTCTAGCACTGAAGTGACAAAATGGCTGTGGACATGTGTGGGTGTACCTGATCAGTGAAGTTCTGAAACCCGTTTTTGATGACCAATTCCAGTTGTATCACAGTTGCACTTAAATATAATAACGAGCTTTGATAGCCAGTAATTAGATCATTAAAATCATTCTTCGCGGTACGCGAGCCATCATTAAATTCCAATATATCCACTGAGAGTGGCACTCTGCAGAACATTTATTCATAGAATGTACAAAAATTTTTGCATTTTTTCCAAGGAAACCAAAATCAGCTGCATAATCTTTCTTCCCTTCAGACCTAATTTCACAGATTATCTCCATCCACGAAAATCGCCAGCCAAGACAGATTCTAAGTTTTTTCACCACTTATACCTTTAACTTTTGCATCTAAGCTTTCTCTTCCACTCTTCTTGACAAACTGACAACATTTAGTTCGCAAAAAAAAAAA